CCCGCGCTGCCGCCCGCCAGCCAGTAGCTCACGCGCCCGTTGGCGCCCGCGTCCGCGTCCCGCGCCTGCACGCGCAGCACCAGCGCGCCCGCCGCGTTGTTCTCCGCCACGTACGCGCTGTACGCCGCCTCCTCGAACACCGGCGCGTTGTCATTCACGTCCGACACCTCCAGCACCAGCTCCGTGCTGCTCCACAGCGCCGGCCTGCCCCGGTCCCGGGCCACCACTGTCACGCGGTGCTCGGACGCCTGCTCTCGGTCCAGTGCACCCGCCGTCACCACCTTATACGAGCCGCCCAACGACGCCACGATCGACAGCGGCGCCTCTCCCGACAGCTCACACGACACCTGACCGTTCTCGCCGGAGTCCGGGTCGTTCACGTTCAGGAGGGCCACCACGGTGCCCACCGGAGCGTCCTCAGGCACTGGGCTCGACAGTGAAAGAATCGTGATTTTGGGCGTGTTGTCATTCTCGTCCGTGATATCGATCTGCACTTCACAATGATCAGTGAGCCCGCCACCGTCCGTCGTCTCCACGCCAAAAACGTATTTTTTTTCCTCCTCAAAATCGAGAGGACCCACAGTTCTGATCTCTCCACTCTCGCTCTCGATAGAGAACAATGAGAGCACCTCCTCTGGGACGTTGCTGAAGGAGTAGGAAACTTGCCCATTTGAGCCCAAGTCCGCATCCGTGGCTTGCACCCGCAGCACTGAAGATCCCACTGGCAAATTCTCTGCCACTCGTGCCTCATATACGCTTTTGCTGAACACAGGGGGGTTGTCATTTGCGTCCGTCACGTTGATGCGAACCAGGACAGTCCCGGATCTTGCGGGGTCCCCACCGTCCACTGCTGTCAGCACCAGCTCAAAGGAACTCAGCTTCTCCCTGTCCAAAGCTCTCTCCAGTACTAATTCTGGCTGCTTCTTTCCGCCCGCCTTTTCTTTCACTGACAGTGAGAAGGACGGGTCGCTCGTGAGTTGGTAAGTCAGCAGCGAGTTGCTTCCTAAGTCCGCATCTCGTGCCATTTCCAAAGGAAAACGAGCACCAGGAGGGATTAATTCACCAATCTCGAGGTCCAGAGCAGCGTTACTAAAAACTGGGGTGTTGTCATTCACGTCCTCAATGGACACCTCGACATGGAATACGTTCAGCGGGTTCTTCACCATCACCTCGAAGCTGACGGAGCAGGTCGGCGACGCGCCGCACATCTCCTCCCGGTCCAGCCTCTCGTTCACGTACAGGTTCCCGTTCTCCTCACTCACCGTGAAGTATTGCAGCTGCTTCTTGCCGGCAGACGCCACCTGCA